ACGGCAAGACGTAAAGAGAGAAAATGGATCTACGTTCATTTTTTTAACCTTCTGCACTGGTTTCCAAGTGATTGTAAACTTTGTCCTTAAGAGTGGAATCAATAAAATTGTTTGCATGCTTTCCATCTTCCAATGAGAAGTGCCATCTTTTAAAGAAAGGCGAGAAAATGCAAGTTTAAAGCAAGTTTAGCTTTGTAGACGAGTCATCGATGATCTCGTTCATCGATTGAACATAGGCATTCTTTCTTCCAGTCTGGATTGTTGTAAAATAAAGAAAGACGAAATGGATCTTATTTTGACATCCAAGTTAAAATTAATTCTAGTTTAATACAGGAATAATCAATGATCTCACTCATGAAAAGAACGAGACATGCTTTCCTTCTTCTAGTAAGATTTACCATATCCTAAAGGAAGACGAAACTGATCTTATTCAACTAAAATGCTTCAATTTTAATTTAATATGAGGAGTGATCAGTAAGCTCGCTCATGAAAAGAACGGCATTACTTTAGTTAAATCGTTTAAAAATGCAAGAACTTCAAATATTAAAGATTTAACCGGGGTATCATTATCTTTTGAAATTAATCTCCAAAAGTTTTCTTTCAGATATCTCGTCCACATCTTATAGTCGTTATGTCTTAATTACTGTCATTAAATCATCAATGATATCATTAATCAATCAAGCTAATTACAACGACACCGGTGATCTAATATTAATATTTTCCAATTTTTTTTGCCATTTACCCAATCTTTTCCTATTTCATATAAGATTCTATCGACTGTGGCAAGAACCAATTAAGGCTATGAAAAATTTTTCTTTAATTACATTTTATTTGCTATCGTCATCGTATTTATAATAGGGGAATAACATTATGTAATTATTTTGTCTTCATCAAAGTCGGTAGTCCTATATATAGCTGCCTGGAGTAAAATCGATTTGCTGTCTATCAGAGAATAAACCTATACATTAGCCGACGAAAGTCGATAATGTTTCTTCATGGATCTGAATTTTGTTGATGACAGTGTATAGCAATAAGAGGATATCGATATTATGAAGTAGATCATATATACCAACTAAGTTACTGTATTTTTAGCATCGTGCTTAAACAATAATCCGAAACTAGTCAACTAGTTTACGCGATCATTAAATATCCACTTACTTCAACAGAAGTTACACAATTTCGTTCGAGTATTCACTAATACCGGTGTGGAAGATTAATTTAGAAGTACTGCCGTTGGACTGGTAATGATTGGGATTAGATATTTAGTTGTCTTAGTAGACGTAGCTAGATCTTCAATTTCGCTAGTATGTCTGCTCATATCACGGCAAAATATGGAGAAGAAATAATATAGGGGTAGTGCATGTCATTTAATGTCCAGTTACTGTAGTAGATGATGCTCAATTTTACTAGCAAATTACCCAATGTCTTTGTAAAATAGCGACCTGAATGTCGGTAATTTCGTTCTCATTGAATAAGCGATGCAGCCCTTAAGATTGGTAAACCTTAAACTAGCAATTCAGTTAGGATGTTCTCCAATAGTATGATAAAACATAGATCTAGGAGTAGTTGAATAGCTATTTGTTGGCATAAGATATCCAATCAAGCATAGCAGGAGGTGCTACATCATAAATTGAGTTAGTTTGCCTGTTTAAGATCATCACAGGATTTTAATCAGTCTAATGCTAATAAAGTTTGCATTTTCTGCTTTAATCTGCTCTCCTTGACGATCAATTTTCCTTATGCGCTCGGTTAAGAGGATTGTTTAGAATGAAATCGGTCAACAGCAGTTGAATATCCTCTATCAACCAGTCTGTTAATGAGCTCTTGTTGTTGGCCATCGCAGACATTAGAGTTTATATTAATCTTCCTCAACAATCGCATCGCTGCCTTTCCAATTAATTATATAATTATTGGAATGTTTATTTCGCTCTATACGCGTACGAAGGCAATATTATACTCAATACTTTACATAATTTTCCTTTCCTTACGACTTCGTAGCGGCATCTTTGGTCTATAAAAAGGGACAATCATTACGTATTTATTCTTCTGTTTTCATCAGCAAATCGATGCGGAAGAGTAGATTAGTGCTATTTTAAAACTTTTTAAAACAGGGTAAAACAATTAGCTAATATATCTTTATTATCTTACGATATTCTACGTCATATTTTTAATTATATCCCTTCCCTTACAACTACATTACAGCGTTTCATAATGCATAAAATAGGATACGCAGTCGTTGCTTACTCCTCAATTTTTATCAGAAATACGTTACGGAAGTAATAGATTAGCACTGATGCAAACTTTATGAATCCGATAAAATAATCAAATAACATTGTTTTAATTGTCTCAGCGATCAATGAAGAAAGTAAAGGTCTAAGCTATTAATTTAATCGTTTAGAACTACTCCGATATTGCATATACTGTATATATTAATTTGTTTTCGATATCTACCTATCCAATCACATCTTATCAAAGTTATCACTTGCTGTAATGTTAGATGGAGTAATATCGCGTTATGCTGTAATTGATTTCGCAAACAACACTAATAAGAACTATCCTGACAAAGTATATTTACTCCTGGTTGGGTTATTAGATGGCCAAAGCATTGTTCTTCATCAAAGACCCTTTGATGAAGAATATTCTTACCAATCATCAGCTATTTAAAATTTTGGCCTTGATTGTTTCAGTAGGATGCTGTTGCCTTCATGTTGTTGATAAGGAAGTAGTTCATTATTAGATTGCAAAACATGGACATTTCCTATAGGAGTTGCAGTGAGTCTATATCGTTCTGACATTTGAGGTCAATGGAATTGGATAGAGAACTGTTATAAAAACCTTGTTGTTATTAGTTAATTAACTTTCGTAGTTGATGCGATAGCTGATGGTGGCCGCATGCTGTTTAAGGATGATAGAAACAATATGATGAATGTTTAAGATATGACGATGATGATCTATTGCAGACCTTATTTCGCGATAGATTAATTATCGTAGTCATTTATGAATTTATTCTGGTTGTCGTCATCAACAGCTTGTATAGGAGAATAGTAGCAACATAAACATACGCCCTGCCGTTCGATATAACTTCTTCAGTCTCATATTAAATTATCCCAGATATCAATCATAATTGCCCATATCTTACAGTGCAGCTTGATACATTATAGTCACAGTATTCTGACTGACATTATGCTTAAAATTATAGCTGCGATTTCGTCGATATTTACAGCAAATTTTTACACTTTTAATGACTAAATTGCATCAAGGTTGTCTACTATCTTTATCTCTGTCAATCATTAATTTTGATTCTGTTGATAAAAATCAAATTACAATAATAGTGAATAATTGTAAAATCCGCCAAAATAATGGTTCTCAGAGAATTAAAATTTCGACTTCGGCCCCCACCAACTATCTATCTATTGCCACGGTCCTTTCCTGTATCCAGGTTAAGCGATGGCATCTTCGATTATCTTATTAGTTTAAGTCATATACTTTTAGCTTTTCTTGAGCTGCTATTTTATCCTATCTCTAATAATATATTTCATTAACTTATCAATATAATCGTTGTGATAGTACTTCATTTAGCTTTTATTTTAATTTCTTTGTCAGCAATTGAAATTACTATTATATGTCATACCGCCGTACTACAATTAAAATAGATACTAAAGAACGAAATATCTGATCAATATTATCGTCTTGATAAGGCTTAATTTGCCTGAATTCGATTCACAATAGGGAATTTGAATGACTACCATATATTATACTATCGTACTACAATTGAAATAGATACTAAATGGAAACTGAATAATAAAATAGCTGAACAGTATTATCATTGTGATAAGGCTTAATTTAGCCTAAATGAGATTAATGATAGGGAATTAGGATCACTTGCATAAGGGTTTATCGTGCTACTACAGTTAAATCACTTTACTTAAAAGTCAATAAATATTTCCATTACAAGAATACAAGGTTGGCATAATGTATGACGATTATACTGTATTCGCATTCGATGTATGCAAATCTTATATAGTATCGGAAATTTATTGTGTACAACAATTAAACTGTTTCCACAATAATAGGCCGAAATAAGTTACTATTGATCAAAATTGATTTCGTCACGAAAAGATTTATATTTGTTTATTGCTCTGTATATTAGTAATATTCGTAAGCTTCATATTCTCTTAACTATAAATCACTTATAAGTTAAATTGTTGATATTATTAATGGTTAATTAATATTTCTCTTTAACCTTAATTAGACGGCAAGAACGGGTTAAAAGTTACAACCAGCTGCTCATTTTTTCCATCAAGATAAATCAAATATTAGCGTTTGAATTCATTAATCTTCATTCATCTTAACCTAGAACATTATTGAGACAAAGGACAAAAAGCTATTACCAAATAATAGGCGTTATCCTAAAATCAAGAATTGATAGCTCAGGTAAATCAGACCTTGTATTACCTCGAGACAAAATAGGTAATCTCACTTAATGTTGCAAAGAATTATTGAGAAAATTAGTACTCGGTAGCACCTATTTTCCAAATCAATTATTAAATTGTCTATCAATCATTTTCGAATTAGTACTGACCCTTACTCCACCTCCCTGCTTTGGATTTGTTTATCCAAACAAGCTAAAATCACCAAGGTGTCTGGAAATATTGTTTAAAATAGTCGAAAGCGTCAACATTATCTACCCAGAATTCAAAGGCTATTTACACTAAAGTCTTTCAATACTAGCCGTCAACCTTGGCAGTAATATCTGTCATTCATTGTATTTCACGTTGTTGGGCCGTAAAATTTTCCAAGCAAGAAAAGATAAAAAGACTTTATAAAGATCCTAAAGTTAATTCTACTGACATCCTCTGGTAAATTTCAACTCATTTTTCGGCTGATCAATTCCATCGAAATCATCTAATTGCCAGAAGATGAATTTTAATGCGACTACTTCTAGAACTAGTCCTCCTATAATAAACTGTTCACTGCCTAATGCTCCTAAGAATGTTATTATGGTAGCAGGACCTCAAGAACCAGATCGAATTGCCTTAATCGTCTTATATTTTGTTATCTTTACTATTGGCTTTGTTGGCAATTCCTTGGTTTGCTTTATTATCCTGACTAAAAGGGTAGCCATTACAACAACAACTATTTTCCTATGTAATTTAGCCTTTATCGATTTAATCTTACTTTTATCACTAGTACCGATGAAAGTGGCTCGCCAATTTACACTAGGTTATATCTTAGGAACAGCATTATGCAAAATTGAAGGCTATCTAGGAACGGTTTGTTTAGCTAATGCATCCCTAACTTTAGTGGTCATGGGAGTGGATAAATATATTGCTATTGCTAAACCATTCAAAAGGCATTACTTTCGTAAACGATGGGCAATTGCTATCGTCTGCATCATCTGGATATTAACGTCCTTGGTTATGATGGTGCCATTAATTAATAATGCTGTGGAGTATTTCTATTATCAGCCAGCTGCAACATGCATCGGTTTCTGCTATTCCTACTGGAATTCATTAGTTGCAGCCCGTATTTATTACGTTTTTGTTCTATCCTTTGATTTCATCTGTCCATCTTTGATGATAATTTATTTCTATTCTACCATCGCCATCTATGTTATTAAGACAAAACGTATGCATCGCTATGGCTTAGTCAAGAAATTCTATTCTAGGCGGAAAAGGCAAATCTTGAAAATGCTAATTGCGGTGGTGGCTGCTTTTTATGTCTGTTGGACACCTTACAGTATCTTAACCCTCTTACGGGTCTTTCGTACAATTAATATAAATACTGTGCCTTATTTACGACAACTGAGTAATTATTTCCTCCTGCTAACATTTTGTAGTGCTGCTATTAATCCAATTATTTATGGTTTATATCATGAAAACTTTAAAGCAAGTATGAAATTAATGTATAGCGCATCAACTCGAACTCATTCCTATACCATTTCTCGTACTCGAACAATCAGTCGTACGTCGACGGCTGGCAGTTTTAATGCACGAAATGCGGAAAGGCAAAAAAGTATTATGCGCCATAAATTGGCTGTCTTGCGGGCTAATTCTAACCAGCAATCAGAAGTAGCTAAAGTTTAATAACTACTCGGCAATAGTAATTGTACGACTAGTAATTAATACGGATATCTCTCGAAATTAATCTTCATATGTAAATAGGATATTCTGAAAGATTTAATGGAAGCAATATCTATTCTATTAAATGATAACAGATTGTATTTGTATATCTAGTAACCTTTCAAAAAGCGTTATTATTACTAAACTAAAGTAGTTTAAGATAATAAAAGTTGATTGTTAGATCATGGCAATTCAATATTGATATATATTTTCACTATTATATCGGATTTGCTGGCCATTCTTACCAGTAAATAGAATCATGACATTTGATAATGTATTCGTTATCGTATTTTTCAGATAGTTGCTTCCAGTTTTAAATTATCTTATTTATAATCATTAAATGCATCGCCTTTGTTGACGAGATAATTGTGGGCATTTGTCACTATGATAAATTGTAAAAGTACTATCAAGCCGGCAATAATAAACTAAAGTTAGCACCAATTTGCACTTTAGTTTGATAATATAATATTGTTAATGGTTTATTCATCCAACACTATCCTATATAATAACTCACAATTGAGAATAACATATCTGTTTCCTCCAAGGGGTGATTTTTTCTAATTTGTTGGGTGTCAGCTCTCAGTTAGAATATACTGTAATAACAACTTGGATTAGTTTGATTGATGAATCCTGTATTCCATTGGATGTATCCTTTAGAAGGATGCCTGTATAGATGTCATTGCACGTATACATATAAAAGTGAATATAAATTTTGTTGAAAAATTGAATTAGTTATTCATTAGTCTAATGTCGTGACTAATTTATCATTATTATGAAAACTATACTTTGCATCAAATATGCCTCTAGCTGCTATTAATTTCTCATCTATCGATGAATATTTGCTGTCTTACTTTACTTTCTCAATTGACAATGTTGAATTAATTGTCATGTAAAGTAATCATTTTTCCATGCAAAGTCTTATTACTGCTGAAAGTATTAGCCATTAAAAATAACATTACAAAATAATAAATCAATTGTAGATGTGCATTAATTTATATAAGGTAGTTCAATTGAAAAAGTTGCTTGGCTGCAAGAAATGAAAACTGGATTTATCGATTTATCTTTATCATTATTTGTAAATAAATAGCAACTTTTACTCGAAGTATCGATAGATATATTAGCGAATATAAGATCAATACAAAGAAAAGATTATCTTATCCTTAATAATTTTACATATTTCAAAACATATAGATAGTTTACTCCGCTTATAAAGGTGTGAATGGAAGCATTTGTTCGTATCAAGTTATATTGGGTATTAAACGGCAAAGATCATGAATAAAGATAGAGTTGACTTAACCGAGTCGATCTTAATTTGAAGACTTTTGGCATTAATTTTAATATTGCCTAGGCAAGATTTAGTCATGATTCGATTCTAGTCGGGCTCAGTTACCATATGATATAATCGCTTACTAGGATAGTTAAACCCTGCATTATTAAATACTTTATTCGTTGCATACTTATCAGGGATACAATAAATGTAAATTTACACAATTTTATAAATACAGAAGAATCGTTTGTTATTCACCTTTATTCTGGAAATCTTGAGGCATTTTAATATAGTTGACTAAAAGAAAGTTCTAAATTTGACGTTATTTCAGTGCTGATTCTACCAGCTAGGTATATCAATCCCACCCTGTTAACATAGTGCTATTTTTATATTCCTTCCATTAGTTTCAAAACATTACGGGATTCATGAATAATTGATAATAAAGCTTAGCGGAAGGCTGTAAACCTAGCTAGGAAGCTTAGAAATTTAATATTTTACTGCTTAAACAAACACACTAGCCAGTTAAAATTACCAGTCAAGATCCATGTAAGATTTTACTGCAAAATGATAGCTGGTATCTTTGAATAGTACTTTAAAGCAGCTACTTAGAAGAATCCAACTTATTTAATTCGTCTTTTTCTTAGCGCATAACAATGATATCAATGAATTAGAAGTCAGGTCTAATTAGGATACGTATATTAAGTTTGAATGATTGGGGTATTTGATCTCGCAGTGTCTAAATTCTGTATTGACCATAATTACAATTAATTCATAAACCAGCGTTGATAATATTCTTGATAAAATACGCACATGATATCGATTTCTTGCATAGTTTTCCGTACCAGTAAAAATATTTAATACAGGATGAAAAAGATTTTGTGGGTGTATTTAATAGCGGCCTATATGAACTGCAATATCGTACTATGAATTACTAGAAAGTAAGCTTTTTACTAGCAGCCAGTACTACAGAGTGCAAACACCAACCTATCGGTTTCTTTAGTTGAAATTGTGATGTTCTGTAGCAATTAGCGAATAGCCAAGTGCTGTCAATGTCTTGTTCAAACCGTTGGCATTTCCCTTACTTTTCCTTGCAGCGAATACAAACGATCGACAACAACCAATCGTTGCACTGCCAGTTAGGTTAAAAAAGCGGCATTTATACGGGCATTTTTGCCATTGCTTCGAGGAGTTCGCTGCGATAAATAGGTCTTATTTGTACTAAAACATACGCTATTATTTAGCTAGGTTTCCATCAAGCTGTCTTATAATTATTGATTGACGATTGCTCGGTGACTTCGAGTATGAAAAAATAAGGAAGCTGGTTTATCGAATACTTTCATTTCTTTCATGAACCAAGTGATAGATAACTTGATATACTCGTATACCTTACATAAGCCTTCAATGCGGCATATCTACAAGTATATCTATAGACTATTGTTACAATTTTCCATTGTAACTAGAAAACTGGTCTTAATCACTATCTTTACTAGTACTCGTGTTCCCAACTAACTTACGGTTCTATCGTAGTTGAACTCATTCTCAACTACACAAATAAACTACTAATGAGTAATAGGTTTAAATACTTCAATTTATTAACGTTAATCTTAATCGTAAAATGTACCAAAGACAAACGTGAGAATATCCTTAGCAATAATAGTCAAGTGATCCTGCAAGTGACTAAATGGAACTGAGCAGCTAAGCTAGTGCTCGGCTTTTATAGTCTCGGCCTACGCCGATGGTGTACTTGTGAATATGCTTGACATAGCGTCTTACACTGTATAGCAGCATACATATCCTAGTATAAGGTGTTATTAATTAATGTTTACTGACTAAGCGTGTTAGCTCCGACACGTCAACAGAATTGAACTTTCTGATACCTTGGCAATAACAAGTACTTATTAATAAACATTAATATCTAATAAGCTACTGGAGCAAACAACAATTTAAATGAGATATTTTAATTAACATAGCAATAAAATGGTAGATCTTCCGGTTGGTTTAGAGATTTACGAATGTTGGATGATATACTGTAAAACGAATAAAGTAGAATTGATAATTTCACCATACTTACTTTAACGTTGACTAGATTACTGCAATGGTGTGAAACGAAAACGTACGTGTTACAGCTAGAAATGCTGAAAAAGCCTACATTCTCCTCATAATGATTCTGCCTTCCTCTTTTTAATTAATCTTGAAAATTATTGTCGAGAATCTCTTCTATGTTCACTAAATATCGTTTATTGTTGGACCTCGGTGAGAAAATAGACGCATCTTGATTACTGTATAGCATTCTATCTACAATTTTGACTCTATTGATACCAGGATAAGCATTTTCTTGCAGTACTTTAATCAATCGTCATAATTTGCAGCAATTATAACCATCAAATATGGACAAACCCGCAAGACACCATTTCGCTTGTTGCAAACGGCATCAATAAAGGCGAACAAGCTGAACACTACTTAAGACTAGCGACCTTCATTTGCAGTTTTTTTGCGCCCCGATCCCGAGAAGTTTCAAGCAGAAAATGAAATTTTACTCTATCTCGAAGACCGACTTACTCAAACTATTGTCTAAATGCTGGTATACACTCCAGTACGCCAATTCATGATGCCTGAGTCCGCTCGAACACCAAAATTGATATCCTGCCAGGGACTGCTTAATTCCTTTTTTCATAGTTTCCATAATAAATACCTTAATTGTAATTCAGCAGTACATTCATACCCAAATCTAGTCCCTAACTCTATCGAAAACATGCAATAGAGGAAAAGGAGGAAGAGCGATTGATATTTGAATTGGTACGTAGTATAAATTACTAATACTAGCAGCATAAACTCTAAATGCATATGTAGAATATTATTCCTGTACGGCAGACAGTAAAGAGCGAGGAGTATTTGCCGAAGGTCGTCTGAAAATATAAACACTCCATTGCATACTGTAGATTACGATATCATGCTTTATTATTTTAATAATATCATTACGGCTCCTGGCAATATATTTATTGCATATACTGTAATTGACGATATCGATCTACGCGAATTACAGAAAAAGTAGCAAAATTTTAATATTGGCGCTCGATAGTGCGTATTTGTTTCATATAGTAATTGAAAAGCTATTCATACATCAACAGTTAGCTGCTCACTCACACGAAAGGAACTGTCAACTTATTATTCAATAATTAAGTGATTGCCATATAGATATAGCCCGAACCTTATTGCAAATGATGTAAATTGCTTGCTTTACTTTCTATTTTCAGTCAATGAGGTCATAGGTATCATTTAATGGTGTCAATAAACAATATGCATACTTTTATTCAATTTTATCTTTATCATAGCATCCAGTAGCAAAATTCTTTGGCAAATACTGATATAAAACTAGCATTGAATGCGTGTCTACTAGAGGCAATGTACTGCATAAGTTTCTATTGGGATAGCACGTTGCATATGCTGTTGTACCATAAAATGAATTCGCTTTCATTGCACGCAGAACGCTCTACAGTTCAGTATGATTTTCAATATTTCCAATCATATCGTCTGTTCTGATGCTGCGTGTCTAGTTATACAAGATTTAAGTTAACTTATGATTGATTCAATTTTAATCCTTGTGACAGTACGAGAGTAGACGTCGAATCAATCATGAAGAGGCTAATTAAAGATGAGGGAAATGGTACAACTCAAGTGACGCTCTATAGGGCTAAAAACATAATATTGTATAAATGAATGGATAGAACTATAATTACTGGACAATTGAAATCTAAATTGATTGTTTTTATGAAATCTTTTATGCCTACTAAATCAATTACTGTACATCTAAATACGATATATATATCTAAAAGATAACTGTAGAAGATGTCAATACCGAGTAATAAAACGTATTATAAGCTCATATATGATGTTAAGTTATAACGACATGACTATGTTGGTTTTCAAGCACATCAGAATAGTAAAATTCTTCATGATTGTAGTAAAGCACAGCAGATATGTCGGGTGTAAAGATGAGATATGGCAATGACACCAAGCAGAGTTAGCTAAGTTAGTATTGTATTTATTACAACTAAATCCATGTATTGTAGATGTACACGGACGATAGCCAGCAAGCAAGTATTAATTCGTCAACGGAATGCTTTCGGGAATACGGTATGACAGTAATGTCAGGCTTTACTGTCATTCATCCCTATGCGATTTTCTTTCAACTCATTTACACAAGCTGATGTCGGAAAAGCATATGCAGAGTCCTTACACACAGTAAAAGACATTAACATTTATAATTTGGAGTATTTGAGCTCCGATTCAAACATGTCCAATTTTAAGGAATGGAGGACTTCCGGTGATAAATTAGCTTTGGCTAATTGTTTCTCACCGAATTGAATTGCAGATTTAAGGAGCTGGTCGCCCGGTATGGCCAAATCTACAAATTTACTTTTGACTGCTTCATCGGCGGTGAATCGTTTGCCAAGGTATACAATATCTCGTAGAACATTTTTATCGCTAATTCTGTACCTAGAAAGGGTTCAACAGGATTGTTCAATCGATTTGAAAGAATAAATCGTTCAAGTTATGCGATATTCATCAGGCTAAATCAATACCAGTCTGCCATTCCATAAAATAAGCGTGTCAATCATGAACACAGCCAATCTGGCTTTACTGTTCTAACTAAGGCATGACTTGATGATGATTAGGCCTGATATTGGATATTGAGAGTAGAACGTTGCAAAAAGAGTTACTGCTGAAGATGCCTTACCTATAAATTTGAGTCCAAAACGGAGGAAATGTCATCTTTAGATGTATTTCAGGTAAACAAAACCAGCCTCTCTCCTTTCTCATAATACGATAGTCATGAGCAAGAAATAACAGTCCTCCACCAGCAAAGCAATGTCCTGCAATTTGGAAGATTCATTACACCGAAATAAGCATGTTTATATCGTGGTATGAAAACAGGATATTGTCAACAATTGAAAATTCAATCTATCATATTTCAACATCAAATGTGTATTGACTGCCAGTATTGCAGACGATTCTTTGACCAATAGACTCATATTATATGCTGTCTGTTTCTTACGTAAACGAACCGTTAGCAGCAGCAATTGTCGGCAATTTGAATGTCAAGATCCTAGCTAGTAAATTGTTTAATGTAAACCGAAGTTCAGTCATTCGCTGGGCAGTCTGATCTTTTAACCAATCGAGATCCAGGCCATTTGAATAATATTTGCCAGTTCCAGTGGTTATTAAGACCTTGGCATCATCATTTCTAGCTCAACAACGATAAAAAAAAAGGGTTATTGGTTTAAAAAGAAAACGATCCTATCAAGAATGCTGTCTCCATTTGCATATCGCGATCTTGCATGCTCCTCCATTGAAAATGGATTGCATAGTTAACGATCAACCATGAGATCCACCCCAGAGTCAATAATAAAGTAACTGCAATCCGATGAAATTGATCATGTACTACTGCATCAAGTGGGCACACCTCTAGTATCACCTGTGGATGATACCCTACTCGTCTATTGAAGTGTTTCAAATCATTGGACCCGTTGTGGTCCAGACCGGGCCCACAGCTGATCCTGTAGCTGTTTGTTTATTGAAGTCAAAGTCACTTACTTTTCAACTTCGTCCAGAGCAGCGTGGAATTGCTTTACGAAATCATCATTAATACGATTTTCTCCAGCATCCATAACTATGATGGAACAGGAACCCTCATATTCCACCCGAATATTGACTTTTGCCTTCATGTTGGACTCGTTGAACGCACGATGATCGATTTGAACAGCCGCGACCACGTAACCAACGATGGTTCAGTCACCAAGTGCTGACTGACAAGGATATCGTGTTACCCTCGACCGATGACCCCTATTAAGCGCTTGACCTGCCGTAACGACGACCGCAAAAGCAAGTTGAAACGTTACCAGTGATACCGTGACGTACCACGGCTTGTACCAGATCAGTTGTTGCTTTACTATCAAGATTTCAGTACAGTACAGTACAGTACAGTACTGTACATACTGTACGTATCGATAAGGGTACAGTACTGTATTACAAGCCTGCGTAATGTACTGTACAGTACACTGTACTGTAAGTCACGTTTCCGGATCGGTTACAGACGTTTCTTGGGCGTGGCGAGCCCTAGATTATGGTTGGATACTGTTCAGTGTTCAGCCATAGCCCGTCATGAAGACTTTCAATTTGAAAGGCATTTACTCGGAATAGGATAAAGTTGCATGCATACAGATCATGACAACCTTGAGCAATGGGTACTCGATGTTTTTTAATTAATTTCGACTGTATTATTGAGTTTTTTATTTTTGGGGGAAATTTCAAATACCAACCATCAGTCACTGTTACGTTGTACAGTACGATCGATGCAACTAGTATACGAGCCATGCTGAAATAGCGGTCTTCCAGGTTACGGCTATAGCCCGAATTTCGGCTATGATGCATAATAGCTGGCTAAAGACTGAATCAAGACTACATATATACTTTAAGCAAAATAATTTGCTAATGAGCAATGAAACAAGCTTCATTGATATATAGGTCACGGTACTAAATGAAGTATTTAGCATGCAATCGATGAGAAAAGAAGTCAAGTTATCCCTCGTCCTGCTAATCTTGCCTTACACTGGACAACATGCTATTAGGACAGTATACTGCTCCATACCAACGTTCAGGTTTCTACTATAGTCCATTACAGTACTGCACGCTTTGCACTCGCCGAACCATCACATGATGCAATTAGTCATGCGCAGAGACAACAACGACCTTGTCCATTTTCTCAGCACCGTCGTACGGCCATCTTGAAAACCACTAGGCTCCTCACAAAAGGTAATACTAAACTCCTATCATTATAATTCAAATCTTCGTTGAGTTTATGATTCTTTGCTGGATCAGTAGTAAATGATAGAAAGGAATAAATACATTGCACTGTCGTTGAGCTAGTTCATGATAGAGTAGGAATGTTGAAAGTGACATTGTTGTCAGGCTCTTGATGGTCTTCATGCATTTTTTGGGGGCAGTACAGTAGTAGAAAAATGTTTGCGCGTTTGACCGGAATGGTAACCAACCACTTTCGTGGTATATGGCCCCATCTCAAGCCGTTGAGAACAATCTTGTTTGGCTTTGCTGTCTCTGGCTATATGATTAGTAAAATTCCACAGACTGGTAGGTTTACAATCTTTGCACTTTGACAATTTTTCAAATACGCATATGTTCTGCTAAGGCCAGCCGCCATGTTGTCTTCATGACGCTCATGACAACAGGCTGGTGCAGCTAAGTTTGTTTCATAAAGTTAACTGCTAATCTACTTATCCTCAACTTAGCATTGACGTGTCGTGCTATAAGATATTATTGCTGGAGATATGTAACTTACATCCTAACCCAACGAGTATGTTAGTGAATAATCAACTTTATAGAAATTCCATAATATCGTCTACAGTATGCTAATTTCTTCAAGATGCCTGTCCAGTTGTGAACTTGCAAGTCGAAACTGGACATTCAAGAATACCGTAATATCCAATAGTTTTATCATCTGCTATACCATAAAAGTGAAGATGATAGACTTGTAATAATGATATACAGTACACTATGACAGTTTGAAACAAATTTCGAATCCCGACGTTCTTGCATGAAGATCGTATATAATGCACTTTCAATAGACTCGGTATGACCTTTCTCATTAGTTCCTCGAAACAGACGAATTATAATTAGCCCTTGCGATATTGATGTCAGCGTAATTTATAAAAAATGCTATTAGCAGCTCGAGCAACGAGTTATAATTATCATGCAATACTGCTAAAGAATTCACTGCTCTGATTTTTTTTCTCCTTACGTATCCTGCATGGAACAGACGAAATGAGAGCTAATTCAGGTAATGTAATAAATTTAGATGCATTAGTAGGCCATGCATAAGGAAATGATTGTCCATTCGGAATGTAACGTACGTATAATCTTATTCTTTATTGACGATTTTAGCATTTGTTGAAGAATGTACAAGGTTCAAGGGCCCCGGCAAGAATGTTGGCGTTAATCACTAATAGATGTTATAAACCAATTTTGATGTAAAAGTGCTTTCAATTACTGTTCTTCCTCTTATAGTGGAAATTTTATTATTGTCTTACTGTAAAGCTAAAATTGCGCATTAAAAGCGTCAGTGGTTTATAAAATAAATAAAGATCAATAGATAACGCTGAATCTATAAGGTTAAATATAATTTTATCTTGGCAATTGCCACAGTCTGGATGCGTGGATCGAACGCCCTTCATCCATTGCTGTTTTGAAGTTGACTGCCTACGCTGTAGGCTTATTAGGCAAAACATGTATCAGCATTGGGACAATGTTGACAGCAAGCCAAAAGCGGATGATACTATACGTTCGTTGAAGTATAGTACAGCCTAATGGATACTGGTAGCCTTCCATCATGTGATTTACATCGATACAGTGCATAATCATCAGACTGAGCCTGCAAACTATTTCTGACATCTCTTTACAAGTTAGCACTCTCTCTATCCATCAGTTAAAAATACGAAAATATTGCAATATTGCCTTGAATTAATGGAATTGATATAAAAAAAGAGTACATCGCTGGGTTAAATGATTTCGTTACTGCCGTAAATGCATGCCCTTTAACATGTATGAGTAAGAAGTGTAATCGGCAATAATCGCAGGTAAACACATATTGCAGACGAATTCATTTCAGCTTTTACTCTATGTTTAAGCGATCTATTCGTAGGATTGTGTTCATGGTAACACATGTAATGTGGGTGTAATTTAGAATACAGTAAGTAGTCATTACTTACGTCCGAAACGGTTAAGAAATAGCAAGCATCGCCACTAGTTATGTTTTGCAGTTTCAATCTACTGGCCACTTGATCAGCAACAAATTAAGTCACTGTGAGTCGTAAGATGTACTGAAATTACATGCATGCTGCACACAATGAAGTAGCCAAAGCCATCGATAGCAATTTTTATTAATTATCATTATAAAAATACAATTTATTATTGAATCACTTATACGAACAGCAGCATGCAAATTTCGTTATGTTGAATTATTTTAAAACTAGTTCAAATTTCTAGGACTCAATAGCTGAAATACTTTTTTTGGAGTGATAAAGTTGTTCTACCAATATAATATCATAAACTGGCAGATAAAATTTAGGCCGTTAAAGTCAAGAGTGAAGAATTACAATTAAGTCAAGGTTCAAGTACTGTACGTTGAAGGTATCAGATTGATATCTTTCTTAATTTCTAAAAAGCTTTAGTTACATTATCAAAATACAGGATTCCCAAGCTAAAATGGAGAAAGCCGACTATAATCTGGAGTGGCATTTAACTTTCCAGGTCATTAGTTTAATCATCTGCCTAAAAGTTCGTTTTGCTAAAGTATATCCTTGCCACTTACGAATGGAAATCTATATTAATGTAAACCTTTTATAAATTTAGCTGTGCCATTATGAATCGGTGGAAACCTAATCGGTTGGCTGTCATCACACTCATGGCTGCTACCTCCATCACATGAACGCGCCTGAAATTCCTTATCTATGCAAATGCGTATGTCGAAGAGATACTGGCCATTATCACCCTGAAAACATCATAGAAAATAGTTAACAAAATTGGCACAGTTCTTCATATCTACTCTAGAAATTTAACAACCAACTAACTTGTAAGCAGTCCACAATTGGTTCAGTATTGTACTGTTGCCCGATGGCTTGTTTAATGTCACTCAACTAAATACGAGTATAGCATAGAGTTTTGCATGTATACTGTTAATAATCATTGCATAAAGCAGATAGCAAGATTGCTCATAAATATGGCTAGGGAAGCGTTAACAACGGAAAATGAAACATACCATGTATTGCCGGTTGTCTGATGGAACAATGTTTGCATCATAAAGTGCACTAATAGGAATAAATTGTACGTAACAAAGACGTCATTCTTACGAGATCGGTATTAATGAAATTAATGAGCGTGAAATGGTAGGACAACAAAACAGTCAATACAATTCTAAACTAACCTATCAATATTAAACTTCTTGTTGAGCTTCAGTGTTGTCGAAAAGAATTTTAATTCATCTCCCAATGCTGCTAGACTCATGGCACAGGTACCATGCTTAGTCCATTCGTGTTTCCTTTAATTTAATTTTTTTCAAATTACAAATATACATGGATACAAGGTAACTCTAATATTTGCATTTTATCCGCTCTATTTCACTACAAGAAATACTGAATCAAAATCTATAATATCAATACCAAAATGACGAAGGACTTTCATCACTGTATAAATTCGGCCAAAATCGATCAAGCATAGGGATTAGACTCTATCACATCAACGATAATAGTATTAGTAGTCGTGAAACAGTGCCAAGGTACTTCACAAATCCACAAAATTCGAAAACGTCATACCTTTATTTTATTAACATCGAATTTATCGTCATCATTACAGTAATTAGGGCCTTCAGTGTGTTCCTTAGTCGGCCTAAAAGATAGAAAGGAGCGACATAGCTAAATAATTAAATCGGTGCGGTTATTTCTACTTCATCATCGTGAAAAGTTTATTGCATTAATAATAACCATAATCCATGGATTGTCCAATTATGAACCACGTTCGGCACAGAGCAGTCATGTCTCTGAGCATCCTGCCGTATAGATACAAATATAGGCACAAGTTAACCAGTTAATAAAGCATGATTGCGTTTGCTATACTGTTGTAATCGAATGGATACTGTAGAGGATGAATTTGTATGATACAAATTGGATAGCATTTAATTTAAATTTAGACGGTTTGACATTGGAGTAATATACTGTGCAAATTCTTAGCATCGTTATAAATCTAAAATTCTCATTTCGAATCATTAGGTTCATAGATGACATTGATGGAGATTAGAAATTTTACATGAAAGACAATATATATCAGTGAAACGATGCCATACTGCAGTATCAATGGATAGTTAATTCGTTAATAATAGCTCCATGGTTGGTAATGATGTAATCGACCTTGTAACGAACATATTCCATATCTACTAATTTAGTAATCTTACCGGAGACATACATGCTACAGCTGGCCATTCTCTTACAAATAATAGATAATCCCAGCTATGATCGTGTGAATGGTGCCTGTTAACCAAAGTATTTCTACAACAAACAGCAGTAGTAGTAAACCATCGTTGTCAATATCATATCATAATAGATAACTCGAAAGTAATTAAAAGGTTATTTTTATATCCATTTCTCCTAGACTATACAGTCTTATAATTATCGTACCATTACCAACAATTACTGGAAACTTAAAAATATAAATGTCCATTGTAAGCTCATTATGCTGAATGGAAATAAATTGTTGCCTAAGTAAAACTATGTCACTACAGTAGATACTGTAAGTAATACATTTCGGCCATTAGTAATTCTTATATTTTATCGTATTTCTAAATAATCTGCATGCGAGAGAATGATCTATAAGAAAACTTTACCTCTTATACGATGTCGCAGTTGCTACCAAACAGCAAAGCAGAATTGCTGCTAAGGCTAAATCGAAAGTTTATGGCAAGATCGTCCGAGTCATCAGAATTATTTTTAGGTGGCAAGAAAGACAAATATATCTTAGTACTGTGTCATAATTGATAATAAGAGGGTATCAACTGATTCAAATATCCTACTAGCATACTTTAGATCAATCGTGCAAAAGCGTAATCTCGTTCTAAAAGATGAAACGCTCGATGTCTACTTAGAATTGATTAAATTAATTATTGTACAGCGTACACTGTACTCTGTACAGTATTTGGCAATCACTGATTGAGCGATTTTTGTTCCAACTCATACAGCTTGTCTAATTCTTACATACTGTAGTATTGGTGATAATTTAGGCTAATATTGCTGTTCCAAAAAATACAGTCGATTTTTGATACTTTCGTATCGGTGTAGTAGTAATGAAGGAGAATCAGACTCGCATCATCCTGAATTGGTTTATTAGCAAAAGGAGTAGCATAAAATAACCCGTCATTTACTACCAAGTTTCATCAACATTTCTATCAACAGCTTTGACAGGATTGAAAAATGAATCAGCCATTGCAAGCAAGATCGACGATATGAAGACAGGATGGAAAACTACTTACTTTTTCCAACAGTCGCCATTTATTTCTTATTCAATCCCTTCTTCGATGACAACAATGTCAATAACCTGAACTTGAGCGGTAAATATTTAGGCTTGTCTAGTAAACTGTATAACGGAAAGTTACGCTAGGTTAAGGTCGCCTTGGGTTTAGTTCTCCTGATGATCATATGATTGATGACAGTACAGTACAGTACTGTACTGAGACCACTATAAACACAATTACAGTACCTGCATGTGACTAATGGTATAAAGAGACAATTGCGAAACTCGCTGTCGCCTACGACCACATCACGTTGAATACACCCGTTCTCGTCTGATCACGGAAGTTAAGCAACGTCGAGTGAGGTTAGTACTTAGATGGGTGACCGCTTGGGAATACCTCATGCCGTAGGCTCCTCAATCTAAAATTTTTTTTAAATTGCACAAGCATGAAGATCGCCGCTAAAAGCCAGCTGTATAAAACGAAGAAAGAAATGGAATTTCTGATATAGCGATTGATTATCCAAGCTGGCTGATGAAGTAGAACATGTAGCTTCATTTAAGTCCATAGCAGGCGTATCGCAGTACGTCAGTCCGCGCCTCTTATTCTTTTTGGAGAAAGAGAACATCAAGCAGATTTGCGTCGAAACCAAACTATGGACAGGCGTAGAGGTGCAGCTTAGCCCTAGCTATTTTGCACAATATGTTTTGTACAACTTCGTTTAAGCTGTCCTACTGATACATTAAACATATATATTGATATGCCTAACAAAATCGCGTCAGATAGCACGATTTCTTATTTTTTTTCTTCATTTACGCATACCATTATGAGTAGTCCCTATCAATATACCATACGTAGGTCTATAATTTAATATATCAATAGGACTATAAGTAGGATTGGTTCAATTAAAATCAAGTGTATAAAGTAATTAGACCAAAATCGCTGTCAACAAAATATCAGTAAACAGTACAGTACAGTGTAGAGTATAGTGAAAGTGACTACCATAATTGAAAACAAAAACGAAGGGGAGCCTACGGCATGGGGTATTCCCAAGCGGTCACCCATCTAAGTACTAACCCCACTCGACGTTGCTTAACTTCCGTGATCAGACGAGAACGGGTGTATTCAACGTGATGTGGTCGTAGGCGACAGTTGAAGAACAAATTATAATTATATACTATTCAAATCATCTTGTTAAATCTTTTGTATAGAAATTCCTAATAATAAGAAGAAGTACAGGTAAATCGATTTACAAGATAGAATTATTATTTTGAAAAATTTATCTTTACAATTCACTTGTTAGTATTATCCGTAGCTTACTATTTCGACTCCTGAGCTAATTACAGTGATTGCATCCGGAGATACCTGCCCGGCTGTACACTATTGTAGTGATGCAACCATATTTGACTATAAGGATGGCTATATTTGATATAGTTAGGTTACTCTGAATAGATATTATCGAGAAGCTAATATTAGATGATTGCTAACTACTATATTAGAAATTGTCGATGACTAATTATAGCACAAGATTTATGTGGCTAGAAACACTGTAATTGTTAAGATGCCCTTAAGGGGCTAGACGTTAACCTTAATAGAAGAGTAGTGACATCTGAAGTAGAATGATTTAGATTGTAGAAGATCGTGATGTACTATTTGAGAAAAGTGCTCCGTTTGATGACTCATTTCTGATTGTAGATTAATCAAGTTGTCATAAATGGATTTAATGAAATGTACAGTATATAAGAACTGCAGAGATGAGTTCACGGGGGAAAAGAGACTGCACTTCACTTTGAGCTCGGAATACTTCAAATTTTAGACTAGATTCTTGTAATAATTAATTATTGCTCTACTATTCCTAAAGCCTTTTAGAAAAATATCATTTGACTAAGATAGTTATTGTGAAACACTTTTATTATAACTATATAATTATAATTAATAGGAGATTGGGCTTGCTATCCAACATACAGTATTGCACGTGCAAGCGGCAATAGCAAAGGCGATGATCTATGTAAGCCTGCTATTCGGAACACAAGGATTTGTGTAAAAGTTATTTTTCAATTACGATAGCCAATTAGATTTATTGCTCAGAATTATAAGGGCCCGAAATTGGTTCTCATTCGCTTACTACTGTATCACATCGGCCAATATGCGAGCCCACTCAAAGTTTGTATATTAGAGCTTATTACTAGTACAAGCTCGATTAGCTATTTATCCCTGATAGTAGAACAATATTTACTAGCAGCCGGTATCATCTGATGATTGAATCAATATTATCATTATCATTTGGGTTTGACTATCGAGAATAATTTTACTGGTGATTTAAAGCCTAATCTCTTCAGCTAGGTTCGGATATTCAAGTACAAAATACGCATGTGTGCCAGTAAACATCATTCGAGCGTTGCCAATTCGTTATACACAAAATCAAGACGTAACACAATGGATAATTGGGATTTGCCGTAAATGATATAATAATGATTTTAATTCATAATCATAAAATAGATGTTTGTCGATCATATCGATATAAGGAAGAATCCATTGTTATGCATGAGTTTCATTAAATGGAACTCGTGCCTCAGGTAAGTACAGCATACGGGTATCTAACTATTAAGAACTTTACGCGAATGAGCAGGCTCAGCAATCGCTAATTGTAACGGTAGTCCACCAACTTCCTATATAAATATCAAATTGAATATACTGCATCAATTCACAAAGTCATAACTCATCCAGTATTACTACTGTTTGTAACTACAACTGAAATACGAGAATTCGTAGAATTATTTTAAGTAAGTACTTCTCCATTTAATTCGTTCATTGCTTTCAAAGCACTTTCCGCGTTGTCATACTGAACAAATGCACTACCCTAGAACGAAATGTAGTATAACATGTCATCAGCATCCTGTCCTTCGCTATTGATTAATAGTACATAAGAAATGAATGATAAGAGCAGTACAGCGGCTCGGGGATATTGCTAGATTAACAACATTATCGTCGTTACTATGAGCGATACTTACGGTTGCTCTACCCTGCTTTTTTTCATTAGCTTTGACTTTCGCGGAACCATATTTGGCGAATATTAACATTAATGTAGCCATGTTGACATTGACACTGTAACGTACATACAACCTACGATTATCAGGTTCATAATACATTCCAAAAACACCGATATGACCAGTCACTCCGGTATTTCGTAGTTCCTTGCATACCAGCTTTAACTGTAAATAAAGTTTAAATGCATCTTTAAAAATATTTCATATTTGACACGCTTCAATCGTAATAATTGTTACTGTACTTTTGCCTTTACTTGCTGCTTTGTTAGCCAAACTAAGCTATTACTAGCTTTCTTTAACCTATAATAGTTACATCAACCTTATTACTCAGTAGCTATTTCACGTTTTACAATAGGCTCAGCAATATAATAAAAATATCACAGTTTGAACTGGAGCGGAGTTCTAACCTTTCAATAAGATCAGCAGAATTGATTGATGACGACTTCAACGTAATCTTTTAGAATAATTATCGACAAGTCAGCACTTTTATATATTTTGTATATTTATAAAACGGAAATTTAGCAAGACGTTATTATCATACTAGCCGAAAATGTAGCTGGTTTAAAGTAGTGGAAAGCGATAACAGTATACCTAATTATCCCAATTTGTATTGATTATCAATATAAATTTACATGCTTATCTCAAATCATAACCGAAAGAGGAGTATACAGTAATTGTTACTAAAGGTGATTCTTGCAAGAAATATTTGAAATTAAACAGTGATTCTTACTTGTGTATTCGGTTTGCTTTTAGGATCATTTGAGCAATTGACCACATCCCATCTACTACGCTTTCTGAAAATAAGTTTATTTGAAGCGAGTTAAAATGTTAAATGCTACTGATGAGCTGATCAATTGATTAATACCATGATTACCTTTTCGGTTTATCTGCTGCATTATATATTAGATCAGTATTAGATTCTTGAATGCTAACGGTATCTAAATCAATGTCACCTGTCTTTGCTTTTGTTACTGGCTGCTGATCAAGAAAACTTTTTCCCCAGCCTAACTGCATATTTCGTCCAAACAATTCGAAATCTTGCATACTACAACATTAATTACAAAAATCAAAGGTAAGTCTTAAGAGTTAATAATTCGTAAGAAATCATTCCATGTTATAGTTATCATAGGTCATAATAAAATAGCAGTAGAATTGTTGAAGGTACCAAATCATTGCTTCTTCGGCTGATCTTCTGTTAGTAAATATAACAAATCCGAATCCTCTAGGTAACTTAGTAGAGGGATTCCGAATAATATTTACCTATTTAAATAGATTGAAGTATAAAACAAGCGAAAATTTAAATAATTTTAACGGTGTGAGAGAGAAAAACCTTAGGTGTACTAAGCTATTACCGTTATAGCAGCATTCTTGGAATCAAAAGGTTTAAAAGCTTCCCATAAAATATCTTTGGTAACTTGCACGGATAAATTTCTGACGAAAATGTTACAGTTTCCAGGTGATGACTGAATAGTGTGCCAAAGAGCAACATCGCGTTCGGATGAAAGGTATTGATAATCATGAACACTATAACTTTCACCAGCTTCATAAATCTATATTTTAGAATTGCAAGTCACAACAATGCATGTGTAGTCATTTAAACATCTATACCCTCGATTTTGCACACTTAAAATGATATTTATTATTAGATTGGCTTGCAATGACTAGTAAATTAATAGCACTGCATTGTTCTTTCCTTGCTGGTAAATGTTCAAAAAGTATAAAATGTAACATGTAATATAATAACTAAGTTTTTTATCAGCTATTAGCTTTTCGGCCGTTACTTACGATGACTTGCATTTAAAGTAATTGACTTCAATAATTTTTTTCTGACAACATTCATAACAAATTGAATTGCAATGACACAGAAAGTTAGATTGGTACTTTACATTAGGATCTGCTAAGGTAATCATCGGTATCTGAGGCGGCAGAAATGGTTCTTGCTTCGGCAATGAAAATATGTATTGCTCCATTTGTTTTACTGAGCGTTCTTGATCTGCATCGGATAGCCCTAGAAATTAACATGGAAATTTGTAATATATTACAAAATAAATTGGACATAAATCGATCTCAAGAAAGATTTTTATTCGATTTTAAATGTATTGGAAAAAATTCGGATTTTACGTCATTCTATTACTTTTATTTGTGCTATTTCTTCTGTAGTAAGACTCAAGCTATGAGGAGAATCTGTTCTTAGCAATTTACAGCATAAAGGGTTACTGAATAATAGTAATTACGGTAATATCTCTATACTGTAAACCGTTCGGGCTTCCTATATTTACTATGGACAAATAATCAATCACCATCTACCATTCTGAAATATTAAAAGCAAGTACAATCATTTGCTAGATCTAGAGATGCGTATGACTTCTTCAGATACTACGTTTTGGTACGCGAAATGACTCTATTACATAATGATTGTATTACTTATTGATTTTTGAATGTCGTTACGCCTGTAGAGGATAACGGGAGCCTTAATCGATTCTAGGCTACGTTTCATCTGAGGTGTAATCCTTTCTGACGGCGATCTGGCATTGATTGGACATTGAGATGTTCCCATTGTTTCTGCAAATTGTATGACGAAAAATCACGGTATCCCATAGAATAAATATACGAGTCAATTTTAAGTTTCTGGCAATGACTGTATGCTAATTCAACATTTAGTTACATGTCACACAACAGCAGGCTTGAACAAGTTGTCACATCTACCGTATGTATTCTTTACCTGAGGTTATGCTTTTATCAGAAATTGGTTTATCCTCTTTTGCCGTCATTGCCTCTGTGATAGATAAAGGTAACCTAGCAGCTTTGTTTGAACTTTGATTTACACCTTTTGAAATGATCAAGGAAACTATTCGTTAACTTTGGTATTTTGTTATCAATGTCGCTTAGGGTAGATTGTATTACTTAAGGCTATATTCGCCGCTATAATGACATTTTTTGATATTCATTGATACCGTACAAGTTGTAAGTTTTGTACTAGCTGCGAGAAATATCCTACAGGCATTTCGATCTTCTATAGTAGGTAACTTGCAAACGAACAACTGATGACTAACTTTATTCCTAAAATAATCTTTAATTTACCGATAAAGCATCTTGAAGCCAAACGAATATATTTATTAGCTGTGTTATAGAGTTGATCGATGTCTTGCAAAGGCAAAGAATGCATGATGTTTCTTTTACTCTATCCAATGCGAGATGTCCATTTTCGAGCACAGCATAGCCAGCATCTCAGCGTTAACAGTAAGTCTATCAGGAGCCGACTTGGAAGGAAAATTGAATTGAATTGAATTTATATGTGAAGTGAGATGAGGATCTGTCCGGTTCTCTTGTTTGAAGTTCAACAACTTAATCCTGTACTGTACCGTAATGAGGATACAGTACTGTACATATGTACTGTACTGTAGATGTTATGTTTATACCATAATCAAGAAACAGTTACACTGCAATGTATCGTACAGTACTGGACGGACGGCTTTCGGATCAATGTTGTGATTGTTGTCTATTGACAGAAAAGTGAAGTTAAAATCGCCATGGCTTGTATTCCGATTTTTGGCATATCTTGTCTTATAAATAGTTCACTGTTTTACGTTAATGCGTGGCATTAGAGAATCCGGTGAGCATATTCATCACAAATAGACTTTAAGTGATAATATTGCAGCAATTCGATGAAGTTTTGCGATATGTACACTGTAAGTCTAGCACCAAGGAGTGTGTACAATACTGTGTGACAGTAAAAAAGTTGGCGAAAGTTCGCTATCTGTAGGACAGCGCTGAAGCTTAAGCAATCCTTCATGTCATGATACAATTTATAGGTAGATGGCTTTAGCCAAGTAATACTAGCTAAGAACAACTAAAGCAGAGGGAGAGTTTAATGCTTTCAAATGGTTACGGTGATTGATTTGCTGAGCTTATTTATTCGTGACTGCGTCATTAAACGAAGCTAGCTTTCGTAACATTATTGCAAAGTAGAGTCCACTAGTACTGGTAGTACAGTATATTGAATAGTATTATGGTGACTGGGATAGTTATAGAAAAGACATAGTATGTGTATACAGCTACATTAGAGAATAATTAATGAATTATAAAGAGAGAGATAGAAACGCTTCATGATCACCACGAGTAATGATAGCTGACGATTAATGGAGAAGAGTTAGTGTTTATTTACAATATACCCTTTTAAGACTACAAAAATTTACTGTAAGGTAGCATTGCATGGTAATATACGATCAACTTGAACAGGACATTTAATTAATAATAATAACGTAGTTATTTATTTATGATTGCTTAACTAACCGCTAACTCCCGTCTACCCTGCCATACTTGTGTTGCTGTAATATTCGGGGCATGGTTAAGCGATTTGTGGGTAATTATATTAACAGTAAATAACAATCTTTCATACACAAGAATTGCCAGAAAAGTCATTCCATTTTCAACTATGCTCCATTATAGTACACCGACAGTACACATACAGAATACTGTAGTGTTTACACGTATTTTATTTACATTTCAGAAGCTGTAAAGGAAAAATCCATCCTTGTACACTGTAGAAAGGGTGAAAAGAGCTTCATATTTAGAGCGCTAATGATAATTATAGCATCACTCTGCATTATCAGCTCTTTAGCAGATACATGATAATCATGAGCAGATGGCCTAAAGTTGAAGTCATTGGCTCATTGCATCGATGTCTGCTCATAGCTAAGCTCGGGTTGTAGTGGTTCGTAGCATAAGAATTTGTTTCAATTAAAAACGGATTACAGTCCACTCAGCCAGAGCCGCCAGGAATTTGCAACAGAATAAAATACATTCCAGGGATGTGAATAGCTAATAATTAACTCATGCTCTAGGCTTAATTCACCTTGTTTACCTTACTTTGTTGCCGTTAGCATTTACGCGTACAGTCACGTCGATGTTTATTATTATTAACCACAGTAGCAGGTGCTCATCTGAATGATACCCCGTTCCAGAGACTTACTGTATTACAGTGTCAATAAATTCAATTCAATGGATGTACAGTATTGTTATATGCTGACTTTCGTCCCCAATCACGATGATTCTTTCTCGGATAATTGATTAAGCTGGGTAAAATTGTTGAATTCATCCTAATCGCTATCGATCACTTCTACCTGCAAAAGGATATCACTTCCTTGGGTCATACTGCCAGCATTTGCATGGCGAGCAAGTGTTGATTTGGTAGTGTCTTGTCAATGCGCAATCCCACATTGGGGATGAAGACAGCCTATGGAAAAAGTTCATTTAACATTGCTGCAATGAAGTACCGGCTCGGGTGATATGAAATTTAATACAAATAAGTACATGCAACACATACATAGAGCATAATAGTACACATTAACTATTGCAAATGGACAGCATAAGCATACCCCAGCAAAACAAGCGAGGACATTGTACCCGAAAAGTACGCAAGTTGCAGACTTCTCTGCATAAATGACTAGAAAGAAAACTTTTCTAATATTCCATGCTTGTAGCCAAGCCGCATGTCACACCAGCATACAGAGTACACATCTTTCGCTCGTTATAAGTACTGGACGACATTGCTACAATGGATTCCAGTTATTAATTAGTGAGGCAATTAGTGTCATGGTGTTATTTGATTTTTTTACTCGATTTTGCTAGTAGTTCCTGCCATGTTTGCTTGGTTGACAAGCATGTTACAGGGGCAGACATGGGCGTAGCTGAACGAACATAGTACACTATAGCTGTACCAGCATCCAAAGCACACTACTGTCATATAGTAAAGTTCCACATTTTCCCACTGCATAGACTCCCCTAAAAAAGGCTCTCTAGGCCACACTATGGTACAAAAGTCGTCAACATCGTGGCCAGTGGGGAATGCCGCAGGCGTTGCGGCTGATTTGAAGGTTGCAGTTGCGATGTGATCGACTATTTTCCTCGGTAGTCCCGGTGGTATATTGTGGCCACTAGGCACTGTAGAAAATTGAAAGTTTGACTAGTCCATCAATTATCCAGTTTACTACTGTATGCCATTTCCCTCTATATTGTACACTGTAGACACTTACTGGCGATAGGACAGTTGTATCAGAGTCAAAAATGAACTCAAACAGTCAATATAAATAAAACTAATTACATCGTGGCCAGTGGGGAATACAGCAGGCGTTGCGGCTGATTTGAGGGTTGCTGTTGCGATGTGATCGACTATTTTTCTCAGTAGTCCCGGTGGTATATTGTGGCCACTAGGCACTGCAGAAAATTGAAAGTTTGACTAGTCCATCAATTATCCAGTTTACTACTGTATGCCATTGCCCTCTATACTGTACACGGTAGACTATAGACGCTTACTGGCAACGTTCAGGACAGTTGTATCAAATCATGCAGAGTCAAAAATGAACTCAACAGTCAATATAAACAAAACTAATTACATCGTGGCCAGTGGGGAATGCAGCAGGCGTTGCGGCTGATTTGAGGGTTGCTGTTGCGATGTGATCGACTATTTTTCTCAGTAGTTCCGGTGGTATACAGTACTGTGGTCATTAGGCACTGTAGAAAATTGAAAGTTTGATTAGTCCATCAACTATCCAGTTTACTACTGTATGCCATTTCCCTCTATACTGTACACGGTAGACTATAGACGCTTACTGGCAACGTTCTGGACAGTTGTATCAGAGTCCAAAATAAACTCAACAGTCAATATAAATAAAACTAATTACATCGTGGCCAGTGGGGAATGCCAGCAGGCGTTGCGGCTGATTTGAGGGTTGCTGTTGCGATGTGATCGACTGTTTTCCTCAGTAGTCCCGGTGGTATATTGTGGCCACTAGGCACTGTAGAAAATGGAAAGTTTGACTAGTCCATCAATTATCCAGTTTACTACTGCACACCATTTCCCTTTATACTGTACACTAGACCTGAGTGTACACTGTAGACTAGAGACGCTTACTGGCGACGTTCAGTACAGTTGTATCAGAGTCAAAAATAAACTCAACAGTCAATAAAAACAAAACTAATTTCCCATGCGCTAAAGTAAAGTTGATTTGCTAAAATCATCACAGAAGTAAGAAAAACAAGGAGCAATTGTAGACCGTTTACGGCAGCTCTAGTCAAGGTTACAACCTTACTTTGCACTATTAAACATCAAGATGGGCGGTGTAGCGATGGAATAAGTCAATAGTAGTGCGTCAACAACAACGCTTCAGAATGAACCTGAATGACTATCGCATTGTTGAGGATTGACAACATGGACTAATAAAACAGCATTTGATGTCGTTGTACAAGATTGAAAAATGTCCTACAATGATCATTGGTTTGGGTATGAATCAATATAGGCAACTTTCTAGCAATTCATCTTCATAGAGAAGCTTTCCTATGATAACAAATGCCTACTGTCCATGAATAATTTGCATGTAAGAATCTACATGGTAGATGACTGCCAGAGAGAGGACGTGGCTGATAGTTTTAATCTATCTGGTAAAATCGGACTTATCTAAGAATCAGCTTGTGGACAATAATGAAAAAAAAAACACTTTCAACAGTTTCATCCATTCTTGAATCGTCCTTATCACTCTACTGTCTTGCTTTGCCTTCTTTCCAACGAGATTGTTGCAGAGGTCTGCAGAGGCGGTCGGCATTTCCCCGCTGATCCAAATGCACTTGGCGATCAAAACATGGGTATACCATCACCTAACCCGATGGTTACACGGGTTATCAGCGGTAGAGTAGGATGGGTTAATCTTTGTTACTAGTTTACCCTAGGCCCTTCATTTTCTCTGCATTCACAACGTTCAATTTTTGATTTATTTTTAATTTCAATTTTTGTTTATTTATTTTACGTTTCAGTAACACCGTCTACAAGTTAATAGACTTTACAGTACTTGATATAGGCCGTAAATTAATACTTACGTGTATCAGTTACCCCTGTATGTAGAACATCTATCAATGCAATTCGCTTTTTGCATTAGCAGCGATATACAATTTGAACTACAATCATACACAGTAATGGATGGGATACAGAATCACACACGCGATTTTTTTTTTTGAACTGTATAACTGCTTATAGTAAATTGATACGGTAACATGGTAACAGCGAAAGAGAACTTAAACTTCAAATGAAACATCTCAATCGATAGGATACAAAATCACACACGCAACTAATCACACAACTTAACTACAATCAAACGTGGCAATGGATAAGCC